ACATTTTCGCCTTTTCATTTTTAGTCTTGGCTCCTTCATAATTGGTCTACGTCTTCCGTCGCGGTCCGGACCCCCCCCCCAAATAATTGAATTATTTCATATATTTCGATTTCAAATACGAAAAATATATAATTATTTCATACATTTTGCTTTCGCCCTGGGTCATGTACCACTAAGCAATTCCGCTACGTTCCGACGCCGTCGGTCGCGGGTTCGAACCCCGCATGGATCACCACAAACAGCCCTGATTCATTTCGAACTTGTTCGCAGCGACCGACCCTGGGTCCATATTTTTCACTTCGTTCCTACGCGCTCATCGAGCGTTTCTTGGACGCGCGCGCCAGCGCTTTCCGCTGCAACGTTCGGACGCATGCGCAAGGGAATAGGGCCTTACCATAATACTCTATTTGTAAAAGTTATACGCATGAGCGCGTCGCAGGTTCAATAGTTGTGTTTGATACTTTGATAGAGTACATTTATGTGGCGCGCCAGCGCTTTCCGCTGCAACGTTCGGACGCGTGCGCAAGGGAATAGGGCCTTACCATAATATTTATTTTTTATAGCTATACGCGTGAGCGCGTCGCAAGTTCAATATTTGTATTTGATGCCTTGACAGAGTACATTTGTGTGGCAACACTGCGTTGATAAAGCTTCAACCTGTTTGATGCGTTGAAAGATCTGCATTTATTTGGCGACACTGCATTGATCTATTTTCGACCTGCATCTTTTGACATACATCCACATATGTGCATTATTCATTCTGGCTTGTTGTGACTGCGCCGGTCACTTGCTCCATGTTTTGAATGCCCTTCTGCTCGAGTTGCCTTTTGCAACTTCAAAAAAAGGGTCTTGGCATTGTTGGCAGTTGCGAGACAGCTTCGTGCGGACTAGCATTATCGGGCTGTACGGTGTTTTTTGCAAGCGTCATGGACATCGCACAATATTGTGTGTAAATTGGAGACAGCTTGTTGCAAAGAAGCATTATGAAAAGACAGAAGTTTCTTTGCAAGCACGAATTTGGTTTTCTCAAAGTTGATTGTGCCTTAATCAACTCGATTTTCAGTTCCTCACCATAGCAGTCCTGCTGTTGCAGCCATTTTGCCACTTGCGTGTGGCCCAGCAGAGGTGCAGCTGCTTCCGGGGGTCACAATCTTGAAGTCATAAATAGCCGAAATAATGCTAAGCACGGTGTATATTCGCGATATCAATTTTGCTTTCCAAAATTTCCAAAGTAATGCAAATATTTTCGGTTCTCATGGTGCGGAATACCGGAGTTTTTTCTGCCGATCGTTTGCACTGTTTGTTGTTTGCCTTCGTGGTTTTTACCGTGGATTTGTCCGGCTACACTGGAAGGCGAAGCTAAAGCCCAGGGAAATTGCTACCTTGCCCTAGCTGAAAATATACGATTTATTACTTATCAAATATGTGCTAAAGTATTATAATCTATATGATATATTTGTACACTATATTCAGGAATATGCTTACGGCATAGTGCCTCAGACCTCTCGAACAAGGGACCGAGCTTAGCGTATTTCTAGATGGATTTAGGTTGGATTCTGAATCTAGGTGTCCTGTCATCCCTGCTGCCGTGCCCGCCCTTGGCTGGCTGCAGGCGACGTAGCGGGTCGCCAATTGATACTAGATTTGTCTGGGGCTCAGACGAAGTCCTATGCTGCGACGAAGCTTCACTACATTTCATAAGGTTTCGAGCTGTTCATTTAGGCTTAGAACAAAGTAGAATAGTCCCCATTGATGAAGAAATCTATTTCAAGGTATTGAAATAATTTGCAAATTTGATATTGGCTCTGCCATAGGCACCGGGCAAAAGGGTGGGTCGCCCACTCACGCCGGATCTATTTGGGAATCAGAAGAAGTCCTCTGTTGAGACGAAACATATTTATAAATGTATATATATTTACGCCAAAATTCTAAATCGATATAGATAATATATTAATATCATTCAAGCTCACTAAATATAATTTACAGAACTTCAAAGCGATAAAAACCATATTCAATTTATTCCAAAGCAAGTTGGTGGATCGCCAATTGACACTAGACCTCTCTCAAGCTCAGACGAAGTCCTGTGCTGCGACGAAGCGTCATTATATTTCATAAGATTTCGAGCTGTTCATTTAGGCTTAGAACAAAATAGAATAATCCCCACTTATAAAGAAATCAGTTTTAAAGGTATTAAGATAATTTGCGATTTTGATATTGCCTCTTCCACAGGCACAGCGCAAGCGGGTGGGTCGTCAACCAACGCCGGAATTTATTTGCGGGTCAAAAGAAGTCCTTTATTGATTTGTTGAGAAGAAATGTTACTATTTAATGTTGGAGTTTTCATGTAAACTTATACACTGCAAGTAAATGCAAAGAATTCGTAGATATATATATATTTATACCAAAATATTGAATCGATATAGATAGTATGTCAATATCATTCCAGCTCATTGAATATATTGAATGTAGTTTACAGAAGTTCAGAGCATTTGGCCCTATTTTTGCATTGCTCAGACTCCGATCAGTCCGGATCCTTTGATTCCATCGCTCAGCTCTCAGGAAGCGACAGCCTGGTTGAAGCGTGAGTGTCGCGTAGCAACCCGACTGCAGCTCCTGAAGTGGCAGTCCGGCAACAGCCATTCGGACGTGTATCCATTGGTCAATCTAAATGATCAATTGCAGTGGATTTCTGGCAATTCTGGCGCAACGCTCTGTGATCTGGGGCACTAACCTGTGTCCTGCTCGCATCCGCCACAAAGGCTGCTGCAAATGACAAGGAATTTGAAGAAAATGATCGATGAGATCTGCAACAGAACCGGGCGGCAGCGAGTGCCGCTGTCGTGGCCGGTCACAGAGAATGTGCTCTATTATTGTATGAAATTCATTAATGCGATGAATGGAAGCCAGACCCATGTTCCCTATTGACGGCCAAGAAGGAAAAAAGGTCCGTGATTTGTCGTTTTGTCAATTCCTTTATTTGTTAATCTATCGGTTTCGAATTTTGAGGATCGTTTTTTTCCGCTGTTGGAAACAGCGGGCCGACCCTGGTGTAATATAATATTAAATCTATATATGGGTATGTATTTTTTTACCGTAGTCGGGCCGGGCCGGGAAGTTTAAATAGGTGGTATGATTCGAGGGTATAATTCGGAATATAATTCGGGAATATGATTCGAGGGTATAATTCGCAAATAATTCGCAGCTTTGAAATTGTATTGTAGGATTAGTTAGATTTCCAGCGGTGGGTCCACTGCGCCGAGCAGTAGGCAAACAGCATCTGTTAGATGTTGGTTCGATGTTAGCCAGACTAGGCAAATACATTCTTCCCCCAAATATTCTAATGGTCCTTTCTAGGCCCTACCAAAACAACCAAGATGTGAGATGGATAAGAAATTGTATAAAGGCGCGTAATTCGGGTATAAATTAGATATAAATCGGATAGGGTTCGTATAGCCATTAAATTCTGCAAAAGAAAGAGGTCCCTTTAAAAGAAAGCACACGGATATATTATAAAGATTCCCTCAAAAAAAATATAGATAATTATAAATAAATTAAATGCCCATAAATCCCATCCAAAAAACCTCGTCCTCACGTATAACGTATTAAAAAATATAATTCGGAGATATAATTCGCAATATAATTCGAAGGTATAAATCATTCAAATCGAATTTCCAACCATTACATCAAGAAATACACGCCCAAAAAATACAAATGTTCCTATAAAATCTATAAATAAATCTAAGAATATGAATTTATATATATATATATAAATTTCTATATTTATAATATTATCCAAAAATTCTTATAAGCCTATTCCGAATTATATATATATTATTTTTTCTTTTTTTCAATTAAATTAATTTATATTTAGAAATTTAATTTATATATATTGATATTTTAATAATAATCATTCATAGATTCATCATTAATATATTCAATATATTTTCATTAATTAATCATCTTTGATTTGGGCACGATTGATTAAATATCGGAATTTTGATAAGGATCCAATAAGCAAAAGAGTCGTTGCCTTAAATCGAACAAAAATCGTACAAGAAAACCACGAAATCAAGTTGAATCAAGCCAATCAATTCTGTGCAATGGCGTGAGTCCAGTCACAGGTATAGTGGTGATTGTTCCCAATGTCCCCGCAAGTAATATGAGCCAAGCTCCATCTATATACCTCAGCCAACGATCCAAGCTGCGAAATCTTCGCGCGTCGCCAACCAAGAAGGAATTAAGGCCAGTAGATTTAAGCACAGCCTTCCGTTGCTTCCAAGTTACCACAAACGTTTCAGCATGACTATGCTCCACAGCAGCACCGGCCTTGCTTGAGGTTGGGAAGATCTCCCCAAGACTTGTCACAGTACGCCATAATGATGTGGCTCAAAAATGGTGACTGCGACCAGTTGGCTGTGGTTCTTGAGCCAACACGGTCATCTGCCACCATTGTTGGTTTGCTCTTACACACAGTTCACTGTGTTTCAACAAAATGTTACTGAATGTTTAAAGACGCGCACCACCACAAAACTGGTTTTTAGAGATGGTTTCTAGAATCAAACTGGACAAATCTCAGCTCAGTTGAAGACCCTCGCACCACCACGGCAATGATCGTGTCAAAGCCGGAGATGAGCCTAGCTTGACAAACATATGAGTCGTGTCTTAGACTGAACAGGAACTGATGATTAGGTGATTCATTCCTACTTATGCACAAAAGTGTGGAATCACATATATTCATTCAGGGCCATTGCTTCCCTCAAGCACTCTCCAATGGCAGCAAGCCACCAAAGTATTGGCAAAGAAGGTAGGTAGGAATCCTCAGAGAATGGAATGGAGCGTATGGAGCGTGGCAGGAGGCAGCTGCACATGAGTTCTGTCAAACCAATCACGGAATTCTGCAAAACTATTCGATGACTTCGGCAAACAAATCCACAAGGCCGCTAGGCCTATTCCCGAAGAAAAAGCCAACCCTCTGAAACAAGACCCAAACAAAGTGTGCCCGATAACGAATGTGTAAGTCATTCCCAGTTTCACTATCAAACCGCAATTTGCACCCAACGAAAAGTACACGGCCAAATAGAAACACAACAAGCCTCGCCACACAATCGCTCGCAAAAGGAAAAAGGACCAAAAGACCCGGAGCGATTCCGATTTTTTCCTCCTTTTCACTTCACGTGTCTTCGCTCTTTTTCGAGGAATGATGTCGTCACACCCTGCAAACGAGGCACGTCAAAGGTCCAGGCCAACGGGCTTAGGAGGTTGGCAGCGAAGCCAGACAAGTGAAAACCAAAGACCATCCTCAGTATTGTCGGCCCCCTTCACGGCAAAAGCAGTTGGGTAAAGCAGTTTAGGACTTGCCTCCCTAAGAGAAGTTTGCAATTTTGGACACCACTTCTGACTCCTACACGATCGAATGACTCTCACTTGTTCAGCATTGAAGCCGCTTCGAGCAGCTGCGCGCATTTTCCAAGCTCGAAAGGGCATGGGGATACGAGCTAGGTCCAACAAATCAGAATGAGACTGGTGTGGGATCCCTCCTCAAAAACTGGCCGCAAGGGGTTCCCTTCGCGCGAAGCTCAATCAAGAGCCCAACTTAGAAGATGAACAATGACAAATGCAAAACTAAAATGAACACCCAATGGCCAAACGGTGGAATCCTTTCATATGAGCGATCAGCGATGGCGGGCGCGTGCCCGGCCACCCCAGAGCATCCACTCCAGGGTGGGTGGGTAGGGAGCTTTGCCTGGCAAAGCTTCACGAGAGGAGTTCTAGCCAAAATGCCATCTCCATGTCCGACAGCGGTTCGCGCACCTTGGTCGAGCTGGTAGCCCGAGGCTTCGGCCTTGAGCGTCAGAGCTTGACGATGAGGTAGCCACCGAGCTACCTCACCCAGGCCGCTTACGATCAGCGATGGCCACCATTGCACCGAACATGTAGAGTCTCCATGGGCGGACAGAAATTGGTTTGACAGATGGAGCACCATAGGAGCACTGCGATCAAAGTCCACGAACATGCCCGAGTTGCAGTCTTCAATGCCAGCAGAGGGGGTGTAGACCAGAGCAATCTGAAAGCTTCTGCGGAAACAAGTTAGTTGCCAAACAGGACCAGACATTTCCTCTGACAAGCTACACAAACCCATGGGCTGGTCAGCTGACTGCAGGGGTGCGGGCTGAGGAGAAGGCGTTGCAAGGTGTGCCACAATGGACAAACCGGATTCCTTCGGCTCTGACAAAAGTAGGATGTTAAGGTACTCGAGCGCAACCAGGAAGGCACGCAACTTGTCCCAAATTAGTAATTTTACTAACCATAAAATTTACGTAAGTTTTTGGTTTTACTAAAGAAAATTTACGTAAAAATTTGCGTAAATGTAATAGTAAATCCAATTTAGGTTAGGAGTAAATCCAATTTAGGTTATGAGTAAACATTTTTAGGTTATGAGTAAATTTTTGTGAGCGTGATTTTGAAGCAGAAAATGTCTCAATTTATGTGAGTTGGCTTTGTCCAAAGAGGCAGGTTTTCTACAGGACAACATGTACTCGAGGATATTTGCGCTATGGATTTTTGTTTTTGTTGACTGAGCATGCCAGGAAGTGTGGACTTTGCCTTTACTTAAAGGGATTGCATGTACTTGAGCATGTGTACCCTTCTTGACTTGAACAAAACCTTTCTACTTGAGGGTGTCTACTTGAGGGAGGAAATCTACTGAGGATGTATACTTTTCTTCACTTTAGGAAGAAGAGCATTCTCTGATTCTCTGATGGTTCCTTATCCTCCTGCAACCCTTCTGCCCAGCCATGAGCTGCTGGTTTCTTCTTTGGCTGTTCGGTCTCTCCACTTGCAGCACGCCTTTTCAAAGAGTTGGCCTTTGCCTTTGGTTTGCCCTTTCCTTTTGTTTTTGCTTTGGGACTCTTTCCTTTAGAGCTCTTTGCTTTTGGGCTCTTTGCTTTGGCAGCAGGTTTCTTCTTCACAGGTGTACTGGGTGATTTTTGCTCAACCTCTTCCTTCTCTTCAGGTGTGACTTGGCCCATAGGAATTTCTTCGTCTGCCATGCCAACAAGCTACTGCACATATAATCAAAACTTTCAAAGCTCTTTGAGATCAATCTAGCTGCAAAAGTAAACAACAACCAATAAGCCAGCTACGCAGTAAACTCTCAACAACTTCAATTTGAACAACATACAATCCTGATCAACTCTTTGTGCAAAAGCATTACATTCTCAGATAAAGGATAAACCCACAAGACTGCTAGGTATGTTTTTGTTGACAAGATGATGCAGAACATCCTAACTTTTCATAAAATCTACCAAAAACCTGTATGAATTTGTGATGCACTTTCGATGCACTTCTGATGTACTTTTGAAAAGTGTATACACTTTTAACGAAATCTATACACTTTTGACCAAAAGTGTATACACTTTTAAAAAGTACATCAAAAGTACATCAGAAGTACATCAAAAGTGCATCAAGAATTCACCAACATTTTATCTTAAATTTTTAGTTTTTGAACTAAATTTCATAAATACATATCAAATGCACTTCAACTCACAACAAGACAACACACACTTCCAAGTTGAATGGCATCCTCATGTAAAGTGTACTTACACAAAGTCTCAACCTGAAGTAAAACACACTCAAGTAAAACCATCCTCAAGTAAAAGCAAGCTCACATCCTCAAGTAAAAGAAACCGCAAGTGAAATCACATCCTCAAGTAAAAGCTTCTCAAGTAAAGTCACACCCTCATGTAAAAGCTGCTCAAACAGCCAACTAGTGACCAAAGGCCTTCAAATGGCACAGGTGCATGTCCAACTGCGTGATTATTTTGCCACTGAGCAAACGCCATTGTTTAATATGACCTCGAAGACACATTTCTGTATACACAGCTTTCTTCTTTCAAACTCGATACACCCCTCAGTCACATGGCGCTTCAAAGGAGAGGAAACAATGAGGGCTGTACAGACCTTGATGAAAAGCTGCCTTGCAGGCAACAAGCACTGGGGGGCAACCAAGGTGGCCAGCCTCAAGTACAGGCACCTGTTGCACCTCAGGAAAAACAATGCTTAAGTTAGAGGAGGTTTTCTGGAAAAGCAGCTGCCCAAAAAGTAGCAGCCCAAACACTGTGTGGCCACATGTTCTTCCAAATTGGAACTGCGTTTACCTGAGTACGTCTGCTTTTCTGTTTCACCTAAGTCATTTTGCTTGCGCTTGTCTTTCCTGCGTGCTTATACCTGAATGTGTGTGCTTGTGCTTTTATCCAAGTGTCTCTACTTGTGGCTATATGTTTTACACATTACTTTCTTCAAGAGATGTGTTTTAGATGCAGTTTTTAATATTTGCAGATCAAAAAGTAGAGAGAAAATAGGAAAACCCTTAGCGAAGACCAACCAATTTATTTAGGTTGTACCTAAATCGAATTTACATTTACTAACCCATTTACACTTTTTGCCACCTAAATTCATCAATTTACGTAAATCCAATAAAAAATGTAAATTTACTAATATCGGTGACTTAGGGTCAGACGCAGCACAGCCTGATCAGGGCTGACTGATCGTCACAACACGGAGAAGATCCTCCGCATTCTTGGTGAGGCCACTCTTCTGAGCGTTTCCTTTACGAGCGGGCTCTCACCCGCTTCGTGGAATGGCATGAACAAGGAAAGCACGCCTGGATCCGCTCCACAAACTTGCGACGAGGTTCACGATGGTGAGGCAGAAGGGCGTGCTCACGGAACCCGGCACGGTCGTTCACAGGGATGTCAGGAACTTTGGACGGGTCTTCTTCCAGACTGCCAAGGAAGTCACGGCGAGTTCTCGCCGAGCGCGGCGAAGGCAGAGGGCAGCCGGGAGCCGCTGACGACCGAACACCAATCGAAGGCTCAGCCCTGGAACAGGGGCAGGATCACTGTAATCACCGCATGGGGCGTTGATAAAGAACTCGATCGCACTGAGCTCCAAATCATTGGCATCAACCAACATTGCGTCTTCATCATCCACGACCGGGTGTTCTGCCAACTAGATCACGCACGAGCTGCTTGGCCATGAGTGCTGGGACTGAGGATCGACTCCTATAAATAACAGCGTATTTGAGCGACAAGCGGACCTAGGGTTTTCCGGTTCGGATGCAAGCCGGTCTCTTCAGTCGACCGTCCGGCGTCCACAGCCGCATCGAGCAAGGTGACTCGGCAGGAGCGCATGGTCAACTTGTTGATCTCGCGAGCGCGTTTGACGATGGTCGCTGAACACTTTCATCCACCGCCACGTCCGCGCAAACGATGTGATCGGATTTGAACAGGTCGGGGTGTCCAGAGGTGAACGTGCGCCAGCCTTCCTCCAACCAAGGAATCCCGAAACCCGATGTCGGGAGCGAATCGAATTAATCTGATCCACCTTGGTCTGCCACGCCATGCCGAAGAGGCCTTCATGGGCGAACATGTATGGCGTCGTCGAGACCCACGTCACACCACCTGAAGTTTGGCAGAACAGGAGGGTCACACTCGGTCCCATCCAAGGCGAACAGTACAAAGGAGTAACCCGGTCCAGAAAGAGTGAAGCTCCATTTCGCGCACCGCTTGAAGGACTCGATGCGCGCAGCCATGGTCCGGCGCGCCTCAATGTTTCAACTGCAGGCATTTGCCCTCCAACATGAAGTTTCGGCCGACTCCTGCAAAAGTTTCGCGAACGCGCAAGCTCTCGCGCCTATCGCCTTGAGTCTTGAGGCCCACTTCCACTTCAGGTTCCTCTCCTTGTCGAGGGGTGGGGTTGAGGACGACGATTCGTTCGAACTCACCTTGACCTTCTTCGGAGGTCTCACCAGGGGCTTGAGCAAAGAAGCGGTCGCTGACTGCTTCCTCAACCCTGCCGCCGGATCCAGCTTAACAGGCAACCCGAGCTGAAGGGATGTAGACTCAAAGTACACCATGGCGAAAACAAATGCGACGCTGCCATAACGCGAACACCTTATCGCCTTTTCGAAGGACCCATCGAAAATAGGTAGCGACAGCGCTTTCGCCACGAACGTGTCCAAGGCAGCCTCACTCGTCGAGCTAGTTGTTCGTGATTCGAGCCAGGCGACTTCTCGTTCGCGCTGGACTAGCAAAACATCGAACCAGATAAGAGGCCGTCCCGGGCGTCACGCCATCAATCCTGGTCCCGCGAAAACGTCCGCAAAACTTGAGGGCCCCTCCCCCCACCAAAAAGAAAACCGGAAAAAAGGAGGGGCCAGCCCGCGCGGGACCACCACCCCGGCTAGAACTCGCCCGGCCCGAAACCGTGCTGAGAGACCGACTTCAGGTGGCTCGAGAGGCACAATCGAACGATTGAAACAGCTCTGTTAAAAGACAAATTCACAGTTGATCACCTCAACTGAGTAATAAGCACGCAAATGCACAAACTTTGGTCAAAAGTTGAGTAACTCGCAATTTTTGGCATCAGGTGAGATCAGCATCACGCAAGCAATGTTGACACACTTGCAACCCTACGGCGGGAGCGATCTGAGGACCCACAACCCTCTCTGAGGCACTTAGCCTCACGCGAGTGCTCACGCACGACAGACTGAAAAGCGCCGATCGGCGAGCTCGGGCGACTGATCGGCATGCCTCACGCCTTTTCTTCATCACACTGAAGAGCTCCGATCGGAAGCGATTGCGTCGATTAAAGTTGAGCGTCGCTCTCAGACTTCAGTTGAGTCTGGCTTGGGCGGCGCAAAAGAACGTGGTCCTGACACCTGATCGGCTCCCGGCGCATCCGGGTTGATCACCTCAATGGTCACGTGGGAATCCGGCCGCCGCTCTTCATTGGCCAGGCGCGTGTTACTGCTTGGACAAAGGCATTGTCATGGCCTTCAGCTTGTCCGCGACATCAATCCATCTGGGTAATGGCTCATCACCTCCCCAGTCAGGGAGTCCAGCGAAGGCATGGGGCCTGATTGTAGCTGGTCATCGCGCCGACCAAAATCTGTCCGCTCGGACATTGATCCCCGCCAAGGCGTTAGTCAGCATGTCATCCAGAAGCCATCCCTGAAAAGCGCTCTGCACCCGACGAAAACCAAAATCTACTGCTCGCCTTTGCCTGCACCAACCTGGGACAGGTGGTCTGGCATAGCTGCGTTCAAAGGATTGCGCGCCAAATCCCCTGGCGCGAGCTGGCCCCACGCACACAACGACGACCTTGACGAGCTGCGCGTTCATGTTGATGACAAAGCCTCCGAGCAGCAGGGTTGATCGTTCGAATGGTTGAGCAAGCCTTGAGCCGCATGAAGAACAGGGCGGCAGTGGCTGCAGCTAGTGCAGCTGCTGGGTGCTTGCAACTGCTGGGCGCTTGCTGAACAGGTCCCCCTCGTGATGGGGGGGAGGTACCGCAGTTGGGCTGCCCTGCAAGGTTGCATTTTTGAACAGTTGGTAGTGATGAACGATCACCTGCCTGCTCCTCTTCCAACCTGGTCCGTGATGAGGTGGATGAAGTATCGCCCCATCCGCTAGAGGTGTTGAACACTTGCTGACGAAGAGCAGCCGGCGGTAGTTTTGCCTTAGGCTTGACTATAGCCTGAAGAGGAAGGACCCGTGGAAGCTATCATTGCCCAGGCCCACAAGGAACTAACTGAAAGGCTGGGAAGCCTTTGCCTGGCAAGGCTTCACGAGAAGAATTCTAGCCAAAATGGCAAAGGATATGATCAAATGATCGAAAGACTAGACGACGAGTGGCCCGAAAGCATTTTTCATCACGTAGGAAGTCAAAGTGCGAGTTATCTGTTAAGTGTGTTATAAGTGTTCAGTGTGAAGTGTTAAGTCGAGTGCGTTGAGGCAGTGTGTGGGTCTCTGTGTGTGTGTGTGTGTATCTATGTCTGTGTGTGTGTGTATGTGTCTCTCTCTGTATGTCTTTCTGAAGCGCAGGAACACCTGTTTTCTGCAAGTTCTTCACCTCTCGAAAGTCACCTCCGCGTAGTAAAGTTGTACTACAAAGTCGCCAGTTCTCATCTTCCAGCTCCACAGATTGCTCCGTGTACTAAAGTTCTACTACCAAGTCGCCAGTTCTCATCTTCCAGCTCCCCAGATACTCCGCGTACCCAAGTTGTACTACCAAGTCGCCAGTTCTCATCTTCCAGCTCCCCGGATACTCCGCGTACTAATGTTGTACTACCAAGTCACCAGTTCTCATCTTCCCACTCCCCAGATACTCCGCGTACTACAGTTGTACTACCAAGTCGCCAGTTCTCATCTTCCAGCTCCCCAGCTACTCCGCGTACTACAGTTGTACTACAAAGTCGCCAGTGCTCATCTTCCAGCTCCCGAGATACTCCGCGTACTCAAGTTGTACTACCAAGTCGCCAGTTCTCATCTTCCCACCGCCCAGCTACTCCGCGTACTAAAGTTGTACTACCAAGTCGCCAGTTCTCATCTTCCAGCTCCCCAGCTACTCCGCGTACTAAAGTTGTACTACAAAGTCGCCAGTTCTCAGTTCTCAGCTTCCAGCTCCACAGATTGCTCCGCGTACAAAAGTTGCACTACCAAGTCACCCGTTCTCAGCTTCCAGCTCCACAGCTACTCCGCGTACTAAAGTTGTACTACAAAGTCGCCAGTTCTCAGCTTCCAGCTCCACAGATTGCTCCGCGTACTAAAGTTGTACTAGAAAGTCGCCAGTTCTCAGCTTCCAGCTCCCCAGATACTCCGCGTACTCAAGTTGTACTACCAAGCCGCCAGTTCTCATCTTCCAGCTCCCCGGATACTCCGCGTACTAAAGTTGTACTACAAAGTCGCCAGTTCTCAGCTCCCAGCTCCACAGATTTCTCCGCGTACTAAAGTTGTACTAGAAAGTCGCCAGTTCTCAGCTTCCAGCTCCCCAGCTACTCCGCGTACTAAAGTTGTACTACAAAGTCGCCAGTGCTCATCTTCCAGCTCTCCAGATACTCTGCGTACTAAAGTTGTACTACAAAGTCGCCAGTTCTCAGCTCCCAGCTCCACAGATTGCTCCGCGTACTAAAGTTGTACTAGAAAGTCGCCAGTTCTCAGCTTCCAGCTCCCCAGCTACTCTGCGCACTAAAGTTGTACTACAAAGTCGCCAGTTCTCAGCTTCCAGCTCCACAGATTGCTTTCGCGCGCTCGACACGCACGATCTCCGCAGAGGGTTGCGCGCACAGCCGGCAAATCGCACTCTCGCCTGCATTTCGCGCACTCGACACGCACGATCTCCGCAGAGGGTCGCGCGCGGACCGGACGAATCGCACTCTCGCCTGCATTTCGCGCACTCGACAAGCACGATCTCCGCAGAGGGTTGCGCGCACACCGGACAAATCGCACTCTCACCTGCATTTCGCGCGCTCGACACGCCCGATCTCCGCAGAGGGTTGCGCGCGCACCGGACAAATCGCACTCTCACCTGCATTTCGCGCACTCGACGCGCACGATCTCCGCAGAGGGTTGCACTTTCGGTTGACGCTGTTCGTCCCGCACTCCGCCTTTAAGAGAGAATTTATAAAGTGGGGGAATGTTTTTTTCATTAGGACATCTCCCGTGCTAGTTTTCCATACTCACACTTGCCTACTCATTGCATGCTTGCATAGTCATTGCGTGCTTGCATACTCACCCTTGCATATCATGCTTGCATACTTACACTTGCATACTTTGACACTGGCATACTTCGCACTTGGATGCTTTCGCTCTTCCAGTGTGTGTGTGTGTAAGTGTGAGTGTCGAAGTGTAAGTGTTCAAAGGATTTTCCGGAAGAACCCTTCGCAATGCTTTCGGGAATAAAGAATCAAAAAGCTGAACAGCAGAATCTAAAGTGCCACTCATGTCCAGACCAACCTACCCGATACATGAGCACCTGGTCATCAAAGCTTGTTGTGCTCACGGACCCAACCCCATTGCACTCGTCAACTCGCGACAAAAAAAGGCTGCAGGTAAGTTTGGATGGAAAGGAAAAGCAAGGGATGCAGTACGTACATGTCGATGGTATTAGAGGCGTGTCGTGATTGAAGGGCGGGTTGAGAGTGCGACAGAAACAAAAGCTATTATTAGGTTGGAGGCCATCGCTTCTATAGGTTGGAGGCCATCGCTAGTAATTACCTATATAAGCTTAGAAGCTTCACTTTCACTTTCACTAATGCACGGTGCAGCAAAGCGCAGCGCCAGCTTAGTAGCTAAGCGCCAGCGCCAGCTTAGTTGATTTTGGCAACCGCTCTCCTCGTTTCTTTGTTCGGCAGTACCCCTGACCCCTGAAACCGCTATTTAGAGTGATGAACCCTCCATGACCGCCTGCGAACCGCAAAAGGTTGGAGTCAACTAATCTGCAGTGTTTGTCCACCGCTGAACTTTGCGCACTTTCCTATACAAAGTACAATTTTGAAGTTGTTTAACAACTAGATAGGCTCTGAAAAATATTGCTGTCTATGTAAGCAAGGCATGCTCAAGCACTTGGTGGTGCACGCAGATTCTGACTCTTCTGAACCACAACAATGCAAAACAAGAACTCAAAGCAACTGTCCAAAACTTGCGCTGCAAGTCTTTGCATCACAAGGATCAAAACATAGGCATACTCTGTGGAATAGTGCAGATTCATGGGTATGCAGGTGATGATGCTCATCACATGAAGTCCCGCCTCAGCTGTTGTGAATCATTGCAGCATGAGATGCCCCTCCCCAACAAGGCCGATTCCAAAACTGTGCAACGGGACAACGTGTGCATGTAAGACAACACAAACCTCTTCAAGCCCCCTGAGCTGGCGTTTGTTCAGCCTCAATAAATTTGTCAACACTCCCTCAGTGTCAAGTGTCAAACAAAGATTACAACAATGAAGCACCCGCTTGTGACAAAGGGAATGAGCAGAACGCAATCACGGTAGGTTACTGTCGTAAGCACATTGCTTTCCCCGAGACAAGAACGAACTTTGGTGCTGTAGACAATTGACCGCCAAAACCCAGCATGTCATTTGCCAACAACTGCATGTGCAAAAAAGCGGCAATGAAAACCACCACGGACAAAGGCAAGTTCTTTGACCCACTCTCTGCATCCTGTCAGCAGTGCTTTGACTCTCACATAAAACCCTCGTGACCCCTGTCATGTCTGTCGTGTCCATCTCCGTCTCCTTCAAACGGAACAGTGCCCATGCAAGGTGCGCCAGGCCCGCGCCAGCGCCCAACAAGGATGCATGGCAAATCAAGTTGGCCGACCAGGACTGGCAAGAAACGCACACTTGGACGTAAGATCGGTGGAATGAAATGGAATCCAAAGTGGAAGGTTCACAGAAAGAAAGAAAGAAAGAAAGAAAGAAAGTTCACACACAAAGAAAGAAACTGCTGTTGTGCTTCCACCAACAATTCCCCATTTTCAAAGTACAGGAGAACTACGTAATTTCACAGCCAGTCAAATTCGTGAAGGAACTACAAGTATGTGAGTGGGGCACTCAAACAGACCTGGCCTTGCTGATCTTGCGGGTGACTTCCGGCAAGCATAGCAACAAGCCCACCAAATGCCTTAGAATAGCATATCGCTGAAGTCCTGCGCCTGCCACGAAAAGTGACAATATCATCGCATGTGAGCTTCAACAAAATTTGCACCACACCACACGTTTGGAATGATTTCGACCCGTTCAGAGCACACTCCCATCCATCAAAATCGCCATTTCAGCTGAGACTTGTCACGAAAGCAGAGCTTCGATGCCACACCCTGAAACGCAAATCCCAATGGCACGGCCACATCCAACACCCCAAAAACACGACTCTCCAAGCGCTAATCCCAATGGAACTGCGCCGTAATCTGCGGATCTCACAAAACGCTGCGCCTGTGCAGCGAAGTGCATCACGTTTCTTGCGCGACATGTCCGTGTCACGCAAATCACAAAAGAATAGCGGCGCAAACTGACACGTGACACGTCCATGCAAAGTCACTTGCAAAAAAAGCTTCCCCAATGGCAGCAAATTTGAGACGCGACGACGACGAGAGACGACGACAGGACGCAAGCCACACGAACACAGCTCCAACCCCCAGACCCCCAACTATAAACCGGAACCCTTCGCTACGCATTCGGAAAAAAAATTTCTCTGAAGCAGGAGTGGTGGAAAGTCTTGAGACAGAGCCTTGCGGAACAGCGCGGGTGGAGAACTGTGTGAAGCAAACCCTTGTGGAGCAGGAGTGGTGGGTAAACAAACCTTTGTGGAGCAGGAAAGCCCCTTGTGAGGCAAGAGTGGTGGGGAAGCAAAACCTTTGTAAAGCAGAAGTGGTGGGGAGAGAAATGTGTGAAGTAAACCCTTGTGAAGCAGGAGTGGGAGAGAACTGTGTGAAGCAAACCTTGTGGAGCAGGAGTGGGGAGAGAACTGTGTGAAGCAAGCCCTTGTAGAGCAGGAGTGGTGGGGAGAGAACTGTGTGAAGCAAGCCCTGTGGAGCAGGACTGGTGGGAAAGAAAAAACTTGTGGAACAGAAGTGGTGGGAAGAGAACTGTGTGAAGCAAGCCCTTGTGGAGCAGGACTGGTGGGAAAGAAAAAACTTGTGGAACAGGAGTGGTGGGAAGAGAACTGTGTGAAGCAAAGTGAAGCAGGAGTGGTGGGAAAGAAAAAACTTGTGGAACAGGAGTGGTGGGGTAGTCCTGCATGTCCGAACCGAAGTTTGCAAAACAAGTCCCACTAACCCGATTAGATGATGCGCACGGAAAGGGATAGAACCAACTTCTCTGGTCTGGCGTTCTTTCGCTCTTCTTCCAGGCACTGGATGCAGCGTTCGAGCCAACTACTCAGTGTCTTGGCACTTGAAAGCTTACTTCACGGAAATCCTTTTGCAAACAAGGCACTGGACGCCCACTAGAAGGGAAGTCGCGCCAAGATCATAGGCCGCTGCGTGAGATAGCTTGGAGAAGTTCACACCTTTCAGATTTTTTTCTGCCTCTATCACTGTCAGTAGACGTCAAATCCATGCTTACTCGCAGAACCATCTTTCATGTTTCACACCAGACTCCAAAAAGAGCAACATCTAGGGATCTGGACAGCTTTCATGTGCGTTGATAGTGCTGAATCTCTGCAGAATTTGGTCATGTAAACAAAGGAATTGGCATTGGGTTGCAATATGAACTTCCAGTCAGTTGTCCGTGTAGACCGGACATTGCGTATTCCATGAACACTAGAGCTACTCATGCTTCGAATTGCTGATGGACATGTCTTGCCTGGAGGCGAGTCTCGCTGAATTCCTTCCAAGTAGAAGGGGCTGCTGTCCTGCGGAAAGCCCAAACTCCACCCGCCAGGTTCTGAGAAAGTCGGCGAGATCGTAGCGATTGCTGCGAGAAATAGACATGCAAATGAAGCCGCAGAATGTCCATGTCCTTCAGCCATGATGCCACAGATTTGCGGCCTCCAAAGACCAAAGGTGCGCCAACAAACCTGGCAAACGAAGGTTCGAGGACGCGAGGCCAAGGGGTGTGCAAATACAACAGTCAGTCAGACTGCTTCACCTTGTGACCACCGAAGCCAATCACAAAAAGGTGTCTGAAATCCACCACAAAGGAGAAGCGCTCGCACTAATGATTTGGTTCCTAGTAGCAAACATTGCTCCTAGTAGTAAGGCCAGGAGCCCCTAGTAGCGTCTTTGCTCCTAGTAGCGATGCCAGGAGCCCCTAGTAGCTTCTAGCCCTAGAGATTTGGTTCCTACTCCGCCGCAAAGTAGCAGAGTGTAAGTGGCCAACTCCAGAACTTGCCACTGCAAGGAGGGCTCGGAAGGCTCCGGCTCACCCGACGAAGCTTCCATCGTTCTGTGCAGCTGGTAGCGGTGATGCGAATTCTGATGATGCTGGTTATAAGTTATCATGATGATTTCGCATCCCGTTCCCTGTTCTGGGTCATGTACAATTTGGGTTTCCTGTGAATAGTTCCGTCGTACAGCACGAGCTTGAAGCATTCTTCCATGAATCCAAAGCAAGAACCTGCATGTACTCCGGGGACGATGGAATTATACAGAATTATTCTGCTGTCTTTGGTCTCAAATTTGCACCATAGGCTTGAGTCTTGGTGGCAAACTTAGTGCTGATCATGAACAAGTTTTATCATTTTTGAAGGACTCCAAGCAACATCATGTTCCACAAGTTTGTCGTGTGCCCCCTGCAAGCAAAAAGTTTGTCGTGTGCCCCCTGCAAGCACAATTTTTTTGCTGGGGGTTCTTGTGACATGCCAAACGCAAAACGCGGCATGGTGAAGGTGCTTAAGCAAGTTCCACCACAACCACATTTAATGTAACTACCTTGCAAGCTCTTGGAGAAACTGCCACCGAGCCTTTGTCTGGAACCTGATCACTAAATCCACATGTGGAGTTGCTAAGTGGAACTTGTACAGCATTCCAGCAGTTGCGCTGAGTTGGATTTTGCACGATGTTCGTGCAGCTGAATTGCTGGGGTTGGTTATTCCCTGTAGCTTTGAATGAACAAGAGCTTCCCAGCTTCCCTTCCACTTCAAATGACGCTTCCGATTGGTGCAAATCACCTTCCAAGTACGAGGAATTACACAGCCCTTCTCTAGCAAAGCACTGCTGCTTCTCTAAGCCCTAAGCTTTTGAGTCAGAAAATTTCACTGACATCATGCACTCCGAATTACAAGAAATTCAAAGGTGGTCGGTGGTCTAAATAGAATTAGCTGTTGAATGGTCTTCTCGCAAACTAGAAAAAAGGTGATAAACTTTGACAAGCAGACTTAACAGGAACTCTAGGCAGAAGCTACTGGTAGCTAGAAGCTATTAGGTTGAAGGCCATTGCTACTGGACGCCATCGCTAGTAGGTTGGAGGCCATCGCTGCTAGGTTTCTTTTGATCAGAGGAGCTTCTCGCTCAGAAGCATCGGAAGGAGACTCCGTCCCCTGTTAGCCAGTTGGCCTCTCTCCGTCGAATCTGACACAAACTGCTCAAAAGACTAAAAGCAAATAAAGAAAAGCTCAACTGATATAAGTCAAACATTAATGGACCAGTGTGACATTCTTCCACCTGCCTGCTCGTGCCAGCCCTCCACATGTTTGTCAAGAAATCTGGCGAGCAAAATGTGTAGAGTTGTAAAATGTCGTACACCTCTGGAGTATAGCACGGCACGGCAACGAAAGTCGGAACCATTTATGCGATAAACAGCAGCGCACGTGTTCATGGGCTTCACCAAGTCTTCACCTAAGCATGATTGTCACACCGTGCAGGAACTGATCTGTCAATAAAGGTTCATGTCAATGTGTCTTTGTCAAATGGTTTTAGATATAAGATGTTTAGATCGAAAGCAAATCGATTCCATCTGAAACGGTGATGTTGGCAGGTTCGGATCCCACAGGATCCTCAACACCAATGTCTGTGCGATTCTGCGCACTGCATTCCGTGACCCCCATACCCGCATGCAAGGGACGAGAACAGACTCTGTATGTTCTTTAGTTTATCAGCAACCAGACTCGACACTGAGAAAAGCTGAGAACTTCTTAGAACCAACAGGAGATGAGTTTCCCTTCGTTCTTCTGGCCCTGACCCCGGCCATCTTCTTGTTGATTCATCGTTCGAAGCGGGTTCCGAAATGTTTCCGGGCACAGCACGCAAAGACCAATGGTTGTGCGTGGCATTGGCCGGGAATATGCCCTGCCATGGGTGCTTCGAACATGTTGGGTTCCAACAACGCTTGTCTGATACATCTCTCAATCAACCACCTCGATCGATGGATGCCCCAAGTCGATGGCCTCACCACAAGGAAAAATGCAATCGAAGCACAACTGCTTCCAAAATCCTGGAAGGCATCCATCGACCTATATGGATTGAACAGTATATTATAGTCAAAGAAAGATCAGTCAAGAAACTTCCATCGTTGCGAACAGTTAATTAGCTCAGGCAATAGTTAGCGCAGGCAGAAATTAGGGTAGACCAGTGGCTAAGTTCAAAAGTTAGCATTGATATATAGTAGATAAGTGAAGAACTAGTTAATTTCACGAGTTACCGTAGATAGCGCCTACGGCCTAGGTGAAGAGCTAGCTAAGCCCACGAGTTAACGTGGACAGTAGCTGAGTGAAGAGCTACCTAAGTCCACAAGTTAGCATCGATCCGCTAAGTGAAAAGCGAGTGAAATCCACGAGGCCGCGTGTGTCCAGGTGGACGGTGGAAATTGTGAAACTGCCGTCGTAAATCGAAGTAGAAGTTGCCAAGATGTGTATGCTGTCGTCGAAAATCCAGGTTGAAGCTAGCAAAGTGTGCAACTGCTGTCAAAAATCTAGGTGGAAGTTGCCAACATGTGTAACCGTCGTGGAAGCTGCCAAACAGTGCAGCCATCGTCGATAATCTAGGTGGAAGCTGCCAAAGCGCGTAGCTGTTGTCGAACATTCAGGTGAGCGTGGATGGTTGAATGTAAGGCAAACTTCTGTGTTTTCTCAGCGAATGTGCGCGCCAACAAGTGTGAAAGCTAGATACGCTGGGTGCAGCGCGGTTGCGGCGCGTGGGGCGACCTTCGTGGCAGGCTGGGCATAGCTTTCCGTTTGCAAGTGGGCGTTGCCAAAGTGTGTAAAGGTGGAAGTTGCCAAAGTGTGCAACTTGTCGTCCAAAATCCTATCTTCCCAGAGTTAGCTTTTTCCCTTCCCGCTATGGTGTTTTCCCTTCCCACCTTTGCGGTGTCTTCCCGCTAGGGTTTGGTTTTACCCTCCCGCCTGCATAGTGCTTTTCCTTCGAAGACACGGAAACGGGTTGGGTGTTTTTTGTTCACAGTTTGATGCCTTCCTTTCTCACAGTGTTTTCCCTTCCCGCTTGCACAGTTTCTTCCCTTTCAAGTATGAGATTTGGGTTGGGTGTTTTCTGTTCCCGCTTTGGTGTTTTTTCTTCACACTTTGATTTATCACGGTCTAACCTTCCCAAATTAGTGTTTCTCCCTTCTTACTATGGTCTTTTCCGTTCCCACTTGTGCGATGTTTTCCCTCCCCGGGTTTGGTGTTTTCCGTTCTAACTTCTGCTTCATGCTTGGAGTGTCTCCCTCCCGATGTTTGTGTCTTGTCGCGCCGTGTCTTGTCTTGTCTTCCCTTCTCTTCTCTTCTTTTGCCTTAGTACGCATACAAGACAAACAAGACATGAAAGACATGCACGACCTGCAAACAGCACCAACTCCACACCAGATTTGTCCTTGTCCACATTTTTGCTAAGCGGTGCCCACCTTTGTCGCGTTTTAGCAGATTTCCTGAGAGGTCGTCGGCAGCTTGCGGGCGTAGGCCTAAAGAAGCCTGGAGAAGCTTGCGCCAGTGCAACACAAGCAGATTTCCACGTTATGGTTCACCCCAAAAAAAGCTGGAGGGGGAGGGCGCAGCGCCTCTGCCAGCAAACAAAAAATGCGCTAGAACACAATCTGTTGTGCATTGTCTCTTCTGTTCCGAGAGGTGGATTGGTGTTTGTCATTGTTCCATTGCACAAAATGCACTTTTCCCGCATTTCTTTTCCATATTTGGTTACCCCTTGTTCGGTCCAAGGCTCCCGCTGCGCATGCCTGCTTAGCATTTCCTTGCTGGATCCCACGCTCCCCTCCGGGAACATAAAGCAAAAGCCGGAACACAAAACACCGGCAGGAACCCGAAGCACCATTCCAGGAACCCAACACCTGTATTCAGGAAGTGAAACTACTGTTGCAGGAAGGGAACACACCGACACATAGAAACGGAAAACGTCGCAGGGAACACAAAACACCAATACAGGAGCGTAAAACACCTGTACGCTGGAAGCGAAAACCATCCATGTAGGAACCAAAAGCCCCTTTTTCCGAAACTGCCGCCACTGCCTGCCAAGCAACCCCACGGGACAACCCTCAAGTCGCAATGTCAATGTCTTGCTGTGCGTGCGTTCTTCACAAGAAAACAATAAAAAGCTTCCCCGCCCAATCAACCGCCGTGCTTCAACCGCCTTGGCGTGGTTTTTGTTGAAAAACATGTTTTTATTGAAGCCTTTTGGGTCACACGGGTCACACAAGCTCTTGGTCTTCGGGATCGGGTCGAGGTGGATTTTCCCGGTTCCTGGACACATCCACGTGGCCGTTGGATACTTTTCCATGGGTGCTATTGATGTCAAGGAAAAATACCCAAACACCAGGCCTGATTCGCACAGCGGGGCATGATGGCATGATGACACTGGCAACCGAAACGCCAAACAACAAGCACCCACGCGGACACCGAAAACACCAAGAACATGTGGCAACATGTTGGAAGGCAACAGGCACTCCACGCCTTAAACTATGCAAGCAGGAAGGGAAAACACTGTGGGAAGGGACAACACCAAACCAAGAACAAAAAAACGCAGTCCAAGTACCATCTGGGAGGTCTGGCAACTTTGTAGTACAAATCAAATCTAGTGCAGGAAGCAGATTCTGAGAGGTCTGGGCTCAGAACTGACAACTTTGTAGTGGCCGCAGCTACGCAACTCTGCAGTACAAACAGTGCGAGAAGCAGCTCTTGGGCCTCCAGGATGAGAACTGGCAACCTTGTAGTACAAATGTAGCGGAAGCAGCTTCTGGGAGCTTTAGTTCTGCAGCCCAAATATGGCAAAGTTACGTCCGTGACGTCGCTATTCCATTCGGATCGGAGCGGGGCTTGGTGTGACGTGATTGGCTCTAGGGATCTCTAGGGGCTTGGTTGACCACATGCATTCGTCGCAGAGGCGAGAGGCATTTCGCAAAACAATGAACCTCTTCTCGAAAGTTTCTTTACAGATTACTTGTATATCTGGACGCAGGCCGCCTTAATGCATGCGACAAATAATGCAAGATTGGTGCATCCTCCACGCGCCTTTTTCAAAAGTGCTCTGCCATGATACGGTTTGATCACCTGCGTGGCAAGTCTAAGTCATCATATCCAGCAACTCGAAATCCAAGCTGCTACCCCAAAGTTGAGCCAGGGGCTCTTTCAAACCCTCTCACAACACCTTTGCAGAGCCAAACAACAGCGCACAACGCTCTCCATAGATTCGAAACCTGAGCTAGATGGCAGTTTGGGCAGCTTCTTCTAAGTCAAGGCCCAGTGGCCAGGCCTTGTCAAGCTCCCCATGGAGGATCAAGATGGGCACCTCGTGACTCATGACGAAAATACAGCCAGGATTGCCAAGGTCGAGTCGTCTCGCGAATGAAACAACCCAAAAGTTCCGAGACAGTCCAGGAGCATCAGCAACTTCTAGCGCAGATGGAGCTTAGGGTGTGGCGAAACAGCAGCCTGGAGGGACCTGACCTGAGTGCAACATCTTTGCCTCCCAGTCGACGGAATCCCGGAAAAAAATGTTTAAAAAAAACTCAATCACTTCCATGGACTCCAGCAGCGCTTTAGCCCGCTAGGCTCTGCCTCCTTACTTAATTATGTAGGCGTCTACTTAATTAAGTAAGCTACTAGGCTAAGTTGGCTTCTAGGTAGGACGCAGGATAGCCTCACGCTCGCAAGAATGATTTGGTTCCTAGATTTTTGGGGAAACTTCACTTACTTAACTTCAGCAGCCGAAGCGAACTCAGTGCATGAAGCAAACTCGGCAGCCTGAGGCAGGAACACAGCAGACTCAATGCTGCCATGTTGTTGTAGCAATCTGATGGAACCAGCAGGCTACCTTCAGGCCACGATGTCTGCGGCAAAAATAAAGGGTGTTTCCCAATGGACTGAGCTCTATTCAGGGCGAACTCTGCCGGTGTTGAATGCTGAATTCTCTGCTAGATGTTGAACCAACATTTGCAGGTTCTGGAAGTTTGGGAACTGGAAACAGACCTTCCAGCAACAAGCACAGCAATGTGCTTCCGCATCAAACCCAGCTTTGTAGGTACAGTATATATATATATATATCCTTTCAGACTTGGGATTTAGACAAACCTTTGGCGTCTTTCTCGAAGGCTTTCCCACCTGCAAGCCCAACATAGTCTGCGGCCACTTGCCGGATGCTAATAAAAGGACACCTTGCATTGCATCCAAGGAGATGTCTACTCAGAACCACAATAGCAAACATCACTCAAAAATGCGTCATTGTTAGGATTCCTGCAAGGGGACCCCTTACCTTGCACTCTGGAGCAGCTTACCCTGGTTTTCATTCGATATATCCAAGCTGCTGGAGGACGATGCCACCAATTTCCCAATGAAGCCTTGGGCAGAAGACCGGACCTATTAATCTGACCCAAAAGTTGAGCACAGAATTCCAAATACCCTGTACCACACAGCAAACTATCCTCAACTTGATCGTGTCATCTGCAAGGCCACACTAAATCCTGACTGTAGCCATGGTACAGGTCATAGGCACGCTTGGCCAAATGCAGAACCGGCCTGAGACATGTCAATGGGATCAAACCACAAAAAACTACACGAACCAGTAGGAATGGAAGTGAAGCATAATCGATCGTGCGAGCTGACATCAAACAATCAAAGCTACTAGCCTGGAGCCAACCCCGTACAGATTGTCCACTTTTACGTTGAACTGGTCTGCGTGCCACTCCAAGTCATCTCTAGGCCACCGGCGCACTGCCAAGCGAACGACCATGCAGGATGATCTGCGCCGTCGAGGTGCCAGCAAGACAGTGCTTACTAGCAGCGGTGCCAGCAGCAGCAGCAGCAGCGGTAGTGGCTCTGGGCACTCCCACAAATTGATGGCGCCGGCGAAGAATATGTGTTTTTAGGTTGCCAAGACCCAAGATATAAGACCTTTAGCAGTGGCATTTCTCATATTCGACCCCAAAATCGCCAGCTCCAAGCAACGCACAAATCGGGCACAACCACGGTATCAACCAAGCAAAAGAACACCATGGAATGACTTTAAAAGAACTGGTCAACCGGCATCCAGTGTGGAAAAGCCCATGTCCGGTGCTCGCCTGAGATGGGTCTACCTCGAGGACGTGGCAACAATAGAGCCTCAGAAAAGCGCTTCCAAGTTTCCACAGACCCAAAGGCCCTGTTAGGTCTCCAAGTGGCTCTTTGTCTTCCTCTGTTCATCTCCCTCTCTTGCTTTCCCTTTCTTAGCAGACCGAGGTTGCTTTACCAAGAAAATGATATGAGGACCGCTTTTCTGATCTCTGATCTCAAAAAAGCATCATAAATTGGCTTCACTCTGTGTCCATGTTGTTCAATGCTTTCGTAAGCAACCTTCTTTCTGAGTTGCCAGGCAAGGCGTGCATCGCAACATCTGCCACTCCTTCGAAGCTCACCTTCATGGACAGCAGAAACTTTGAAGTGGGGTCATTGTCTGTTCGAGAATTGCAGCCAGGGCTTTGTGAATTTCTTCAGGACCCTCAACTTGCAATATCTTCTGCTGGCATTCTTCTTGAGGAAAATGCTCACAGTAAAAGACAAAGCTTGATTGCGCCGCAGGACCTCCTGGCAACCTTTGGCTTGTGAACAAAGGCCATAGCCCGGATACTCCACGGCCAGCAAGTTGCACTGAGCAAAGAAACTCTCACGGGCAGCTTCAGACAGATACTCTCCGGATGCAAAACCCAGTAAATGTTCAAGAAAGCTGCTCGAAAATCTGCGAAGCGACTCAAAAACGGCGACACGTAGTGACGACGTCGTGGACCCAAATTGTTGTGCCTTCAACACCTGCCCAAACTGCTGAAGGTCTGCTTCGATCAGCTGCAAGTCCTGAAACACACCTCCGCATCCTTCCGCTAAAGCCAACCGAGTACCATGACAGGCAACAAGAGAAAAATAGAAGTTAATGTGAGACTCTTCTGAGGCATCTTGTGGCCATGACTGCAAGCCTACTCTATTGGAGTTCTGGTGTGTTTAGCTACACAAATGTTTCTAATTATACATGAGACAAAATTCGATGGAATGTTCACCGCCGGCCCCATTCATTGCGAATCAACCGCAGCAAGCAATGAAGTTGAACGTCAGAAAAGTATTGCTTCTTTCAAGGTCCTCCGCGTTTCCGTGGAAGAAGATCACTGTCCTGCTTCATGTCCAAAAAGTTGTTCAACAAGCACACGGTGCTTTGAGTCCAACTGTCACATGGATGCCTTCTTTTTCGAAGCCCCGTCCTCCTGCTCCCGGTCCCCTCCGGAGCAGGGAACCACAAGAACGGCCGGGTCACCTGAAAGACAATCAACGTCTTCGTTTATGTGACTACAAGGCATTGTGCGATTGAGTCTTGACCTTTTCCCCCCTCTCCTATGTTATTGGGCTACAAGGCACTTGATCAGTACAAGCCTCTTTCCTGAGCCCCCAAGCTCCACCACCTGGAAGCTTTGCAGGCCGCTGATCCCAAACAATGTTCTTGGAGGCCTGCCACACATCTGAACTTATACACTGTGATGAATGAAAGACACCATTACAAGGCTAATGTTATTTTGTTCTTAGCCGCAAATCTGCCCACATTTTAGATGCAAAGGAATTCTGCCGCATCAGGTTGAAAGTTATGTGATGTGTCAAAAAAATCATCAGCCCAGCATCACAGGTTGGAGTCGTTTGTTCTTTACCATTGGAGTTTAGGAGGCCGCAGGTTGTCGATTTACTGTGAAATGCAAATATGTGCGCTCGTCAATATGCAAGAAATAACAAAGTAACATAGTTACATTGTCAGCATCATGTTGAACAACCTCAGAAGAGTTGTCCATCGAGTGGGCAGTCTGGCATGGTGGGGCAATGTGAAGAATTGGCAGTCGCCACAAGGCCACAAATACTCTAGATTGGATCTCAACCTTAATTCAAAAATACACTCATGTGACTCATGTGCAGAAGATGTTTGTCAAGATGATTGTGCTCAAATCTTTTCTGGATTGATTGGCATCAGCCCCACAGGAAAGTTCTTTTGTCGACGGAAGGGTCCCATGCACTGTCACTGCACCTGGGCTCCACTTTTTGCTGGAAGCTCTGGCGGCAGGAAAACCTCCACTGGAAACAGCCCGAAAGCTGGAATCAAATAGAATAGAGTTGGTTGAGTTGAGACATATGTCGCAAATCATTCATCAATGTGATCCAATCCAACATCCAATTCATGCAAACCAACAGAGTGAAAGGTATCGGGTTTCATTCCAAACCATTTGAGGCTCCGACAAAAGAAGCAGCAAGGCTGAGGCCCATTATAGCCAAGGGACTGAAACAACGTCTGTCCAAAACAGTTCTGCCTAAATTGTTTGACTCGTGGTTCATGGCCTCTTCGTTCTCTTGTTGAAACAATCCAACGCCAAAAATCTGTACTGTGTATACTGATCTCTGCGAAGGGTGCGGTGATGGTCTCAATTGTTTTGCAATCCGCTTTACAATCAAAGGTGATGGTCTATTGCATTGTGTGCCATGTTGGTGTCGATTTGGAAAGGCTCTGAAACTCAACTAGCGTTTTTTGGTTTGAAACAAAGGCATTGAAACACTTGCCTCCATTCATGCCTGACGACGGGTGCAGTATTCCAAAAAGAACAAGTAGTACTTTGTCTGGACAAGTTCATG